AAGCTTGCAGTGAGCCAAGATCGCACCACTGCACTCCAGCCGGGGTGACAGAGCAAGACTCCATCTCAAAAACAACAACAACAACAACAACAAAAGCACAAAGGGGCTGGGCGCAGTGGCTCACACCTGTAATCCCAGTACTTTGGGAGGCCAAGGCGGGTGGACCACCTGAGGTCAGGAGTTTGAGACCAGCTTGGCCAACATGGTGAAACCCCACCTCTACTAAAAATACAAATATTAGGCCGGGCACAGTGGCTCATGCCTGTAATCCTAGCACTTCGGGAGGCTGAGGTGGGTGGATCACCTGAGGTCAGGAGTTCGAGACCAGCCTGACCAACATAGTGAAACTCCCATCTCTACTAAACATACAAAATCAGCCAGGCATGGTTGCACATGCCTGTAATCCCCGCTACTCGGGAGGCTGAGGCAGGGCAATTGCTTGAACCTGGGAGGCAGAGGTTGCAGTGGGCCAAGATCATGCCATTGCACTCTAGCCTGGGCAACAAGAGTGAAACTCTATCTCAAAAAACTAATAAATACATACATAAAGGCTGGGTGCAGTGGCTCACGCCTGTTACCCTAGCACTTTGGGAGACTGAGGTGGGCAGATCACTTGAGTCCAGGAGTTCGAGACCAGTCTGGGAAACATGGAAAAACCCCACCTCTACAAAAAATAGAAAAATTAGCCAGGTGTGGTGGCGCATGCCTGTGATCCCAGGTACTTGGGAGGCTGAGATGGGAGGATCACCTGAGTCTGGGAGTTTGAGGCTGCAGTGAGCCATGATGGCACCATGGCACTCCAGCCTGGGCAACAGAGTGTGACCTTGACTAGAAAAATAAGAATTTGGCCAGGCGCAATGGCTCAGGCCTGTAATCCTAGCACCTTGGGAAGCTGAAGCAGGCAGATCACTTGAGATCGGGAGTTCAGGACCAGCCTGACCAACATGGAGAAACCCTGTCTCTACTAAATTTTGAACCTGGGAGGCGGAGGTTGCAGTGAGCTGATATCATGCCACTGCACTTCAGCCTGGGCAACAGAGCGAGATTCAGTCTTAAAAAAGAAAAAAAAAAAAAACACAACGAGGACAGGTGTGGTGGTTCATGCCTGTAATCCAAGCACTTTGGGAGGCTGAGGCAGGTGGATCACCTGAGGTCGGGAGTTCAAGACCAGACTGACCACCATGGAGAAACTCTGTCTCTACTAAAAATACAAAATTAGCCCAGTGTGGTGGTGCATGCCTGTAATCCCAGCTACTGGGGAGGCTGAAGCAGGAGAATCACTTGAACCCAGGAGGTAGAGGTTGCGGTGAGCCGAGATCGCGCCATTGCACTCCAACCTAGGCATTAAGAGTGAGACTCCGTCTCAAAAAAAACCACACGCACACACAATAAACAAACAAATAATAATAGTAATAAAATAAATAATAATAATATGCAAATATAATTTAACTATAAATATGCAGCTTTCGTCTAGGACCTTTAACAACACAGTCAAATTTCCTAGTAACACACAGTAACAAGAGCAAAGGCCAATTCATTCACAGAAAAACCAAGGCTCAGTGGTGGGATCAGTCAACAATAGCATTTGTGAAGAATGTTGAAGAGTTTGTGCTCTGTTGAAGCAATTACCAACTCAGGAAACATTTTACCTTATACACAACTATAAGGAGAGGATATTGTGGGGGGGGCCTCTGAGGTTCATTCTTTTCCAGCAGTTGTCTGATAAATTTTTCAATTGCCTTCTCTGACATGCCACACTGATGGCCTGTCTGTCTCACCAAATCAACAGTCTCTGAAAGTTTGTCATAAATGCTGATCTCGTTGGCAGCAAGATCCATGTCTTCCAATATAAAATCCCTGAGAGAGACGGAGAGAAAATAAATGTAAAAAGAAAGGTGGTTTATTTAGGTACTTCCTCTTCAAAGCTGCTTGACCATCTGTAGAGAAGGACCTGTTTTGTGTTTTATGCAATCCTCTACAGACCAATACTTTTATAAAACACAATGAATACGTAGAGACAATGTCAAATTGCCAAACAAGTTTTAAAATACTAGTTAACTGTGGGCCAGGAACAGTTTACAGACCTGCACTAGTTCCCAAACACTGAGGAGCACTGGTCTAGAGCACAATATATCCTAATGGGACTCTGAAGCACTAACGACATCCAAAAAAGATTTCTGACACCAATGATGGGAGATCTGCTACTGGTGATTTCCTAAAATAAAAAAAATGGATTATGCATAGTGTTGTTGATCAATTATTTCTTTCCAATTATACCAGATAGACTTTTAGCAACACAAGAGGAAGAACTGATCACTGAAGATTACTGAAGGTGACTGCGGAGCAAAGATTTCAGACAACACAAAAACCATGGCATGCGGCTTGCAGTCCTCACACTTTTCTTTCTACTTTTTTTTTTTAATTTCCTAGAGCAAACAGAGTCCTCATGCTTTTCTACAAATACAATTTTAGAAAATAAAGGGCATATTTTATTTGTATTTTATATACTTCAAAGACTTAAGATTTTTAACTAATTTAAAAATTCAATTTGTGTTCTTATAGTTATTTTAAAGCCAGATTGTTTCATCATGTCCAGAGAACAAAAGGTAAAAACTAATGGGGCAAAGTAGAGTTCTCTCTGTATCATTTGTAAAATGAAATTAAATAGTTCCAAGGCTGGGCGCAATAGCTCATGTCTGTAATCCCAGCACTTTGGGAGGCCAGGGCAGGAGGATCGTTTGAGACCTGAAGTTTAAGACCAGCCTGGGCAATATAATGAGACTTCGCCTCTACAAAAAAAGAAAAGAGGCCAGGCGCGGTGGCTCATGCCTATAATCCCAGCACTTTGGGAGGCCGAGGCAGGCGGATCACCTGAGGTCAGGAGTTTAAGACCAGCCTGACCAACATGGAGAAACCCTGTCTCTACTAAAAATACTAAATTAGCTGGGTGTGGTAGCGGGTGCCTGTAATCCCAGCTACTCGGGAGGCTGAGGCAGGAGAATCTCTTGAACTCGGGAGGTGGAGGTTGCGGTGAGCCGAGATCACGCCATTGCACTCCAGTGTGGGCAACAAGAGCGAAACTCCATCTCAAAAAA